TCTCTCTCTCTCTCTCTCTCTCTCTCTCTCTCTCTCTCTCTCTCTCTCTCTCTCTCTCTCTCTCTCTCTCTCTCTCTCTCTCTCTTCTTTCTTCTTCTTCTCCTCCTCCTCCTCCTCCTTCGTCATCCTGTTTCTTTCCTTCTTTTTTTTGCCATCATCATTCGAATCTGGCAGGTCCTCCTCCTCCTCCTCCTCCTTCCCCCCGTCTTCTTCTTCTCTCCTTCTCCTCCTCCACTTTCGTGTTCTCCTTCTCCTCCTCTTTCGTGTTCTCCTTTTCCTCCTCCTCCTCCTCTCATCTATTTTTTCTTTTCTACTCTTCTTCTTCTCTCCTTCTTCTCCACCTACTTTCGTCTTCTCCTTCTATCCTCCTCCTCTCGTCTTGTTTTTCTTCTCTCCTCCTCCTCCTCCTCCTCCTTTCGTCTTGTCCTCCTTTTTTTTCTCTCCTCCTCCTCCTCCTCTTCCTTTCGTCTTGTCCTTCTCTCCTCTGCCTGCCCCTTTGTTCTTCTCTCGTCCTCCTCCTCTTTTCATCATCTTCTTCTTCCTCCTTTCTTGATCTTCCTCTTCTTCCTCCTCCTCTTCCTACGCTTCCTCCTCCTCGTTCTTCTCTACGCCGCCTCCTCCTTTCGTCTGTTTCGTTTTTCAAGTCTTCTTTCTTTTTTCTCCTCCTCCTCTCCTCCTCCTTCCCTCCTCTTCTCCCTCCTCCTTTCGTCTTCTTCTTCCCTCCTCCTCCTCCTCCTCCTCCTCCTCCTTCTCCTCCTCCTTTCTTCTTCTTCTTCCCTCGTCTTTTTCCTCCTCCATATGCTATCGCCCACCATCTCGCACATCCGCCAGCCATGTTGTACCGCCTTCCATATCCTACTGCCCGCTGTTGCTCGTTCGTTTTTTTTCCCTGCCCCTAAAAAAGGACGTAAGCGGGCAGACAGCAGCCCCATTCACAACCGCACAGACTTCTTCTTCTTCTTCTTCTTCTTCTTCTTCTCCTCCTCCTCCTCCTAATTGTTCTTCTTGTTCTTCTCCTTCTTCTTCCGATACTTGTACTTTCTTTTTCCCCTCGCTGTTGGTCCTTGCATCATCTACTTCCAGGACAGTATGGCGGGCGGTGGCAGCGGCGTCGGCGAGGGGAGTGGCAGGTCTGGAAGGAGGAGAGGCAAAACGGCAGCAGACCAAGGAAAAGGGAAATTTGCAAGCACCTCCACTACCCCCCCCTCCCCCCCCCCCCCCCCCCCACCCCCAACACAGATGTCTTTCACAAGATCCTCCAAGCGGAAGCGCTTCATGATGGAGCTGCAGCAGCAGTTGAGAGGTGCAGCAAAGAGAAGACCGAGGGCGATAACAAGAAAAGCTAGACTAGGAGTGTGTGTACGATCAACGGAGAATGGACGGGAATTAAACGCCGTTCAACCCGTTTAATGGCTTCGGGGACCCCGTTCAATCCCGTTTAACGGAAAAATGGGGGTGTTCCGTTGAATTCCAAAAAACGGAATTGGCGCGTTGGGCCTCAGATACGTGGCCCTACTCACCCAAACACTCGAACCGACAAAACAAAACAAAAATTTGAGCCCCCCCCTTAGGCCCCTGTATGGCCCCACCCGTCGGCCTTTAATGATGCCCCTGCAAGCGGCATGACCCCCTGACCTGCCGCGCGCCCCCCCCTACCCCTTTTCCCAACTGCATCACCCCACAACACCCGTCCACACATATGATTGGGAATAAACAACGTCACCATTGCACCCTACCCCCTACCCCCTTACAAAAGCACTCCCCCCCCCCCCCCCCCCCCCTACCTCCCAAGCCCCCCCCAATCCCTCCCCTCCCCTTCCCCTTTCTCACCGCTGAGCACCTCGCAAATCACCCCATGTCCATGCGTACCCCATCCTTGTCAAACATAGGCAAGTGTGAAGTTTCACTTGGAGTTGCAATGTGTCATTGTCAGAAACATATACCATCAACAAAGTATTCCGCAACACCTATATGTTTCTGACAATGACACCTTGCACCTACAAGTGAAACTTCACACGTGCCTATGTTTGCCAAGAAAGGGGTATGCGTGGACACGGTGGTGATGGCCGAACATTAAAAGTTAGTATTTCAATCTATATAAATAAATTCAGCAATTTACAAAGAAACAAACAAAAAACAATCACCCAACTCTGCAAGCTAAAAAAACAAAGAAACAAATGAAATTAAAAATGTAAACAGCAATTGAAGATATAAATTCACACGCTAACAAAAATAGACATGAAACGTCGTGCAACACCCGTAACTGAAATCATACATGGAAACTGTAATGGACATGAAAAGTCGTGAAGTACCAGTCACTGAAATCACACATGAAAAACGTAACATAATACAATGTATCCTAATACTAGGCTGCTAGTGCCACATACTAACTAATACAAAAACAATACAGGTCGCGTCGACTGTGTCCAAATATACTACTACTACCAACGTTGCTGTGCAGACGCCTTACTCATACAAGAATCGAAAAAAAAGAAAAACGAAGAAAACAATAACAACTGCAGCACGCACACTACCAGTGACTACCTGACAATACTTAGATAAGACAACACGACCAAAAAAACAGGAGCACAGAATAGGACGAAGTCGCGTGCAAGTAAGGGAAAGCGGAGTGTTGGCCTCATGGTCTTCGACCCCTCTTCCCCTTCCCGGTCTGCCTCCTTGTACCCCCTCAAGTGTCGGATGTCGACCTCCTCTTCCCTCGTGTGGATGAACACGTTTGGGCGGCAAAGCGTCTCAAAGCGCGCGTCGGTGGGGGAGTTGGGGGCTCATCGTCGTCGTTGTCGTCGTCACCATTGTCGTCGCTCTCTCCTCACTCTCCTCCGCACTGCCGGTGTCGTCTCAGGATCATCCTTCTTGATGGTGACAGGACCGCCTCCCTTCCTCACCAGAACAACCCTCGTACTAGCCTGCGCAACTGTCTCCTGACGGCAGGATCCACGAGGCATCCCCAACCCCTCCGCCCTCGAAGACTCTCCAAGTGCAGCACCTCCCTGTGCAGGCACGGGGTGTGGACGGGGCACTCCACGCTTGCGTGGAATCTGCTCATGCACAGCACGCGTTGCTGCTTTCAAAGCATGGTCCAAGGTCGAGGTGGATACCTCCGGCGCGACCTTCGCTGAGGCTCACAACCTGCTGCTGCAACCTCCCTCGCTATGGTCATCCTAGCGTCGCAGGTTTCCAAGCCTGGTTGAAGACGTGCAAAGAGCTTAGTGACACGGCGTGTGGAATCCAAATCTAATAACGTCATGTCACACACATCTCGCCCAACCACTGTTGTGTCACGAATCCTTGATCTCCCGGGCATGTGTGGGGATCGAGAGCCTCGACCTGTGGGCGACGACGATGGATCACCCTCACGTGGTCCAGGGGGAGGGGGGTGGCATGTCTCTCGTATCTGGTGCTCTCTCCTACATGCCCCAAAAACCCTTGGAACATCTGCCTTGCTACATCCTCCGTTGGAGGTAGACCCGGACCACACTGGCGACGCAGGGCCCCATGGAATCGAAGGGATCGTCTGCCACTGTGGATGGGTGAGTCTCGGGTCAAAGATCCGTTGGTTCAATCGAGTCACATCGCACACAGCGGTCGTCGCCAACTCTGCAGCCAATGGACGATCAACCTCCTGTGGAGCCGGTCGTCGAGGACGTGGAGGCACAACCATCCGCTCGGACCCCAAATCCGCGATTGTAACAGGTGGCACGTCATGCACTGCCACCTCAACCGGCTGCGACCGTCGGGCGCCAAGTGCAGGCTCGAGAGTGGGGTGACTGGAACCGTCGCTCGTCTCGTGAACTACGGGCCGTGCGTCGCCAGGCCCCCGGTCTCACCCCTGTCCACCCTCCACAGCCTCATCCACCACCTGTGGCCCCTCCTCCACATCCTCCTCTGCCTCTGGTGCCACTCCCTCCATAGCGTCCTCCCCCGCCACTACCCCACCTTGCCCACCATCTCTCCCTGGCTATCGACGCTTGCGCTCCTCCAAGGCCCGTGCGAACGCCTGAGCACGCAGGTCGCTGGATGCCATAAGTCGAGCCCTCTCTCGCTTCATGATGTCGCGTGCCGCATCTGGAGACTCCGCCACCGTCGACTCTCTCGAGGTCTGCGTCCCCATCTTGCCTGTCGCCTCGTCCCTCGATGTCGCCCGATCCGTCCATGCCGCCCTGCTGCAACTAGGGGGAGCGCCTATTGATATGTCAAAGTTGAAGTAGGTCCCCATGTTTGAACCCGACCACCTTGTTAGAGGAGACAACCCCAGCCCCCTCGCCACACCCGGGGTGAAACCTCCCACGACTGGATCGAGCTCCTCCGTGAGAAACTGTTGCATGAGGTGCTCCTCGACGTGGTCACCGCCCTCTGTAGCATCCGAACCATCATGCTCCATATCAACGTCTGGCACCGCTGTCGCTGCCGCTATCTCCTCCTCCGTTGTTGTTGTTGTTGCTACCTCCCCCTCCACTGTTGTTGCAGCTGGCACCTCCTCCTCCACTGCTGCTACCTCCCCCTCCACTGCTGCCGTTGCCACGAGCTCCTCCTCCACTCGGGCTGCCCCCCCCCCCCCCCCCCCCGGGGTGGCATGATGGCCACCCTCCTCCTGCAAGACCCTCGGGGAAGGTGATCGTAACCTCAATTGGCGGACCACCGTAGATCTCTGCAGAAGTTTGGTTTGAGGCAAGGAGGATGCCAACTCCCCTTTGTCTCCGCCGCCGCAGTGGCCGACTGAAGTGGCGAGACGGGCAATGGTGGTGCAAGACTCGGAGCAGGAGGTGGCGGAATGGACGACTCTCGCCTCGTCGGAGTAGGAGTCGTCATCCGCGCCTCTGTGCGGCTCGTACCTGCATGAGAGCCCCCGACTCTGTCATCGCGCACATGATCTGTGGAAGCCACCTCCCCGAAAGGGCCCCAACAATCCTCGTCTCCCCCCATCATCTCCCTCTCCGCCCGGTCCGCCGCCCGTAGTGCGGTGTATGTCCTCGTCTCTGCGTCGTCGGTATCGTCGTGCGTCTTGTCCATCTCGTGAGGAATGGGGAGCGCAGGGTCATTTGCTGCCTCGGGTGCCCGCTCCTCATCCGAGTCATCGTCCTTGGGGTACGGACGGAGAATGCA